CAAAAAAATGTTTTCTCAAAATGCAATACATTTTCTTGCTCTGCTACTCCTCACAATCTCAATACTTTCCTGTACTAAAGGTGACATACCCTAACCCTATTGTTATTATTACAGCTCTTCACATAGCACAGAAGTTTCAATCAGCATCTCCTTGACCTCAATTGATATTTATGCCACAATTTCCCTTCTCTCTCCCATCCACTCTGAAGATCGGCAAGTGCCAGTAATAGCTGTCTGGGGCAGGATGGTTTGATGAGTGCAGACGAGTGAGAGTGAGGTGACATCAAGGGGACATTTGACAAAATATGGCATCTAGGATCCCCAATAAAACTGATGCAATGGGTATGAGGAGCCAAATTACTCTAGCAATGACTCCATGCCTAGCACAAATAAAGATGTAGTGGCTGTTGGAAGTCAATTATCTCAGCTCCAGGTCATCTCTGCAGGAGTTCTTCAGGGTACAGTCTAAGGCCCAACCAACTTCAATTGCTTCATCAATGACCTTCCCTCCATCATAAGTTCAGAAGTGGGCAACATTCACTGATGAGTGCACAATGTTCAGCACTATTCGCGACTCCTCATATACTAAAGCGCTCCATGTCCAAATGCAGCAAAATCTGGATAACATCCAGGCTTGGACTGACAAATGGCAAGTAACATTATGCCACACAAATACCAGACAATGACTACCTAAAACAAGCGAGATTGTAAACACCTCCCTTTGACATTCAACTTTACTGATCCCTCAATTTCAACATCCTGGAGGTTACAGTTGATCAGAAACTAAAGTGGACTAGCTATATAAATACTTTGACTGTTACAGTAGGTCAAATACTGGGAATTCTGTACTGGATGATTCACTGAAGAGCGTCTATCATCTACAAAACACAAGTCAGCAGTACGGTGGAATACTTCCCACTTGCCTGGATTGGTGCATCTCTAATAATACGTAAGTTTGGCACCATCCAAGACAAACTAGCCTGCTTGATTAGCACCACATCCACCACCTTCAATATTCACTCCCTTGACCACCAAGAATCAGTAGCAGCGTGGTTCCATCTACAAGATGAGCTGCAGGAACTCAGTAAGGCTCCTTACCGAGCACCTTCCAAACCTACAATCATCTAAATGGAGGAGGGCAGCAGATACATGGCACACCACTACTTGCAAGTTCTCCTTCAAGCCACTCACCATCCTGATTTGAAAATACATCACCATTCCCTCAGTGTCACTGGGTCAAAATCCTGGAATTCATTTCCTGACAGCATAGCATTTGTGTCTAAAAACATTCCCCCAGGACTGCAATGATTTAAGAAGGTAGCTCAGCACCACCTTCTCAAGGGGCAATAAGGGATAAGTTATAAATGTTGGCCTAGTCAAAGATACCAATATCATGTGAACAAAGAAGAAAAAGATGCTGGCGAAGGACCTGGATAAGTGAAGAGATGCTCTCAGCAGTGTCTGAATAATAATCACTAGCGTGGGACCAGTGGGCCAAGGATAACGATGGAGGAGCAAAGGCCCTATGAAAGGAGAATGGTGGAATGGTTACAGCACAGAAGGAGGCTATTCATCCCAACAGGTCCATGCTTTTCTCTATTCAAGCCATCCAGCCAGTTCCACTCCCTAACTTTTTCCCTGTTATCGACACAAATGCTTATTCTTCAAGTGTTTGCCTCATTCCCTTTTGAAATCCGCAACTGAATCTGCCACAGTCTCAGGCAGCTCCTTCCAGACCCGGAACTCTCTTTGAATGCAAATATTTTTCCTCGTGTTGCCATTGCTTCTCTCACTGATCACCTTAAATGGGTGTCCTCTGGTCTTGACCTTCCCCAATCGAAATAGTTACTCTCTTCCCACTCTATCTAGACCATTCACGATTTTGAACACCTCTTATCAAATCTCTTCATCAACACCATCTTCTCAAGCGTAGGAATAAAATATGAAAAAAAGTACTATTGCCACAGAACTCCGACTAAAATTCTCCATATCAGTCAACCCTCGCTGCAAAAAATCCAAAATTGCAATATTAATTTCTCTCAATTTTAAACTGATCTGTCCAATAATTCAACACTGAAATAAATGAGCCAAAGTGATATTACTGTTGTGGTATGAAAACTATGACAGAAACGGAATTAGTCAGTAAACAATGAGCCATATCTGTCATCTGTAATGCACCACGCTGTGTATGAGTTTCAGCAAGTGTGCACTATTCAAATCTACCTCCCACGTATTAAAACTGCAGAAAATAAATCAATTTTCACCACGTTAATCAGTGGTGATATTTAAACAATCTCTTCCCTCCACCACAGCCCCACCCCTCCCTTTTTGACTTACAAGTTATTTGTAAATTCATTAAATAGAATTAAATAATTTCCTCCTGCAAGATGACCCAACTGTTCCTGCTCCCTTGGTTTAACTAAGCACTCGGTACAATAGAAACTTCTGTGATACTGGAATTGTACGCTGCACAACATGTTCTCTCGTCATCCTGCCCTTTCCCCTGTGAACAGGAGAGGCTGGGTTGGGGACAAACCGCCGTCTACAGGTTAACCCGGCTGCCGTTTTTTGTGAATTCCTCTTCCCCAAAACAGTTACACCAGGGCGCTTGCGCCTGAATTGCACCCCTTCAGTTCAACTGGTGGGCTAGAAGGAGAAGCGGATCATTCCAGGCAGCTGATTTACAAATAAAAACAACTATTCAACGTCGGCGAAACTTCAAATTTTCGCGGCACAACAGCTACTAAAAGCATTCGCACAATGTGTCACCTCGCTAATCACGCAGCCCTCTCTTTTGAGATAGTAGGAACTGCAGATGCTGGAGAATCTAAAATACCAAGGTGTAGACCTGGATGAACACAGCAGGCCAAGCAGCATCAGAGGAGCAGGAAGGCTGA